GCCTCCCGGACGGCGTCTGCGCTGGGTGCGCCCGTGCGCGGGACCTCCGGCCTCCTCTACAACCTGTGGGCTGTGTCCCGCTCCGTAAAAACTCTCTCTCACACACACCCCGCGGCTACCTGAGGTCCCTCGGCTGCTCAGTCTGAGGAGGAAACGCGAAATGGAGTCCTTGCTAAGCGTCACATGGAACGCAGGGTTCCTAACACAACGACACAGATGTGAATGGTTCATCCAATAAGTTGTTTTATAGGAAATGATTGAAAGTGCTAAATAAAATGGAAATCGGAGTAAAAAAAAAAATTAACCTGCCTGGTGCCAGGGAAGAAGATATTCGTTCAGAAAGTTCCAGAATAGCTACCTGTGGCCTGGTCGGGGATTAAGGGATGGCAGAGGACATCTGCAGGCGGCCTTTCCTGCGGTCCCAGAAGTCCTCAGCCCAGCCGTGCTGGGGGGAGGGGAGGGATGGGGGTGGGGATGGGGACAAGGGGCCGCTCACATGCAAATGCAGCTGTGACAATCCGGCCGGGCGCCTCCGCGCCTCCGGGAGGCCGAGGCTGGAACAAAGCATTAGCATTTTCTACATCTGAAAAGCCCGCATTCCTGGGCGGGGAGGCCGCGAGGGCGTCGGCCCCCCTCCCCATTCACACTCCGGACCACACAGAGAGCCTCCCGCGCCAAATGCTCGAAGGTTCGTTTCAGCTTTTCTTTTGACCCGAGCGATGCATACGAAATGTAGATATTTCCCTAAACGCCAGGCTTTGACATTTAATGCGATCCTAAGTAGTCTGAAATGTGGACGGGATTAGGAGGAGGCTTGGGGCCCACAGGGACACTTGGCCAAATCCTCCTAAATCCTCCAGGACAATTGTTTGTCACCACACGGATCCCCTTTGCCCCAAATGAGGGGGCTAATGAACTTCGCTGCCTCCTCCCGTGGCACCCCCACTCCTACTGTAGAGCCTGTATTTCTGCCTTGTTCTTCCCAGGGAGAAAGGGAAGCTGAATGTGTAAATTGCTTGCTTTGTGTTTGTCTGGGTTTGGGTACTTTAGGCTGGGCCAGCTGAGTTTGACCACTAACCCATCCATCCTGAGCCACTATTTAAATCTCACTCGATAAGGCTCAGAGGGTCAAGGATGCTGAGGCCCTGTGAACCTTGGGGTTATGTTAATAGGCCACTCCCACCTTGAAAGAAGTGGGTCCAGTGACACTGCCAGGCCTAAAAAGAAAAAACATCACGAAAAATTCTGTTCAGTGGACTTTGTTCCTCTAGAACAATCCACACACGTCTTCAAAGTACTCTCAATCCGGAGGGGGAAGAAAATAGCTGACAAAGAAGAGAAGGTAGAGTGTGCCTGAAGATTTGCCAAGTTACTGTGGGGCTCAACAAAAAAGCTCACGAGCCCAGAACACACCCTTGGTAAGCATGGCTGGCATGAATGAAGAGCTGGGGTTTAAGAGAAATGAATCTCTTTGGGGGTTAGGGCTGCGGAGAGGTAGTGTGGGATGGCTAGGATGTTGACATGTTGAAGCTGAAAGAGAGGAATTTCTAGGGAGTGGGAAATGGTGACTCCTTTGGGGCGATGGCAGAGAATCCACTTTGGGTGACACCTGGGGTGTAAGGGAGAGGTCAATAGAAACTAGGGAGGATGGAGCAGGTACCATGAAGAGCCCTTGCAGGTCTTCCTGAACCCTGGGCAAGAATCAGCACTGCCCTGCAGTCAGGCACAGGCTGGCCTGAGGAGGGACCTGAGGCGGGAGACTTGTGAGCCCTTCTCACCCAAGGGCAAGGGCCTGGGCAAGGTAGGAAAGAATGGGATGAGAACACACCACTACACCCCAGATACTGGTATTAAAAACAAGACAACAGGGGCACCTGGGTGGCTCAGTTGGTTAAGCAACTGCCTTCGGCTCAGGTCATGGTCTCAGGGTCCTGAGATCAAGCCCCACATCAGGCTCCCCGCTCAGTGGGAAGCCTGCTTCTCCCTTTCCCACTCCCCCTGCGTGTGTTCCCTCTCTTGCTGTCTCTCTCTCTGTGTCAAATAAATAAAATCTTTAAAAAAACAAAACAAAACAAAACCAGACAACAGGCTCCAAATAGAATTACTTACGCTAAGCCCCTCATCACCAAACTGAGCCTCAACTTACTTAGTTTTGTGTCTCCCAGAAATGGAAACTTGAACCAGTTAATCAGGAATCACCTGATCAGCCCTAGTTAAGTAATCTGCCTGATAGATCCTTAGCATCCCTAAAGTAACTTTGCAATAACTTTTTTTGCCAGCATTAACTTCCTTGTTCCCATTCCCTTCTGCCGTAAGTCTTTGATTTTGTACAGCTCCTCAGAGCTCCTTTCTGTTAGGTTGAATGCTGCCCAATTGAATCAATTTTTGTTCAAATAAACTCTTAAAATTTTTAATATGCCTCAGTTTATCTTTTTTTTTTTTTTAAAGATTTTATTTATTTATTTGACAGAGAGAATGAGAGAGAGCACATGAGAGGGGGGAGGGTCAGAGGGAGAAGCAGACTCCCTGCCGAGCAGGGAGCCCGATGCGCGACTCGATCCAGGGACTCCAGGATCATGACCTGAGCCGAAGGCAGTCGCTTAACCAACTGAGCCACCCAGGAGCCCCTCAGTTTATCTTTTAACATTGGACGTATCCAAAGTGAAGATAGTTTACCTAAAGAGCCCTCCTGCTCCTACCAGCCACCTGCAGGGCTACCTCAATAATGTAATAATGTATAACGTTTCCTTAATAAAGCAGGAAACAGTTTCTGCTTTGATATCCTTTATATCACACAGTGAAAATCATGGAGCTCCCATTTGGGAGTTCAAGGCACTTCCAGAAATAACAAGGGCCAGGCCCTTAAACCTCATTCCAGCCCAATGAGGGTACTATTAGTATCCTTTTACAGATGAAAAAACTGAGGCACAAAGAAGCAAAACAACTTGTTCCAGATCAAACTTGTCCCAGTAGATGAGAGAACAAGATTTGAAGCCAGTCAGAGTCTGGCTTCGGGTCCATGAGGTCATGAGTCACTTTCCTCCAGAAGGCTTCCAAGAAGGGGAATGGGTGGGAGACAGAGAGGGAACAGTCAGGGGAAGGAAGTGTGGAGGATGGCTGGACTGAGCAGGGTGTAGGCACCAGGACGGGCACGTGAACTCACTGGTAGTCAATGTCCACCAGGTGCACTTTGCATTCATCACCTCGTTTTAATCCTCACACTGGGTCCTGAGGAAAGGCACCCTCATTTTGCAAACTGGTTAAAAACCTCAAGAGATCAAGTCATCGGCTTGGTCACTTGGGTTGAGTAGGGGGCAGAGCTCTAGCTAACTATCAGACAGTGGAGTGTGAGTGGGGGAAGTATCAGGGTATGTTGTTCTGAAAGCGTGGCACAGTTACACGCTGCCGGAATGGGTGTGGTGTCCACGCACAGACAGGCGGAAGTGGGCCAGGACGCCAGTAAAGGACTTGGCAGTGTGGAGCTCTGCAGGGGCCATCCTATGGCATGAGGGCCAGGGGCATAATGCTCCAGCTCTTCTGAGGGTGAGTGCCTTACAGTCTGGGGGACACTTGCAATCACATTCTCATTGGGTCTGTGAATTTCGCCCCTTTTTGAAGCTGAATGGGTAGTGGGAGTTTGAACAGAAGCTGATGAGGCTCTTCTCAAAATTTACCACTTTAAGGGCACCTGGCTGGCTTAGTCTGTAGAGAGACTCTTTGAGTTTGAGCCCCATGTTGGATGTAGAGATTATTTATTATTATCTTATTTAAAATAAGATCTTGGAGCACTAGGGGCGCCTGGGTGGCTCAGTCGTTGAGCGTCTACCTTCGGCTCAGGTCATGATCCCGGGGTCCTGGGATTGAGCCCCGCATTGGGCTTCCTGCTCCACGGGAAGCCTGCTTGTCCCACTCCCCCTGCTTATCTCCCTCTCTCACTGTGTCTCTTTCAAATAAATAAGATCTTTTAAAAAAAAAAAAAGATCTTGGGACACCTGGGTGGCTCAGTTGGTTAAGCGTCTGCCTTTGGCTCAGGTCATGATCCCAGGGTCCTGGGATTGAGCCCCGCATTGGGCTCCCTGCTGAGTGGAGAGCCTGCTTCTCCCTCTCCCTCTGCTGCTCCCCCTGCGTGTGCTGTCTCTGTTGAATAAATAAAATCTTTAAAAAAAAAAATCTTTATATATGTATATATATTTATAGATACACATACAACCCTAACAAGTAAGATTTAAGGTTGATGCCTACAACACCCACACCTGTTTACTGAAAACCATATACCATAAGGAAAGGGTATTTATCCGGGGCACCTGGGTGGCTCAGTTGGTTAAGCTTCTGACTTCAGCTCAGGTCATGATCTCAGGGTCCTGGGACAGAGGCCCCACGTCTGGCTCCACGCTCAGCAGCAGTGCTTGTCCCTCTCCCTCTGCCACTTCCCCATTCGTGCTTGCACTCTTTAATAATAAAACATCTTAAAAAAAAAAAAAAGTTATGTATCAAGAGAGACCCAAAGGGGAAAGAAATGGAAATACCTGGGAAAAATTTCAGGGAAGTGGCATTTAAAATCTTTCAGCACATTAGGATTACCTCACTTAACAAATTGGGTCAGGAATAGGTGGGAAGGCGGCTTCCTGGCTGATGCAACTAGTATGAACAGTCATGGAAATGGGAAGAGTTTACATTTAATGTGCTGGGATCTGCCCAGGGCAGGCTATGGAAAGCAAAGCTGGGCTGATGGAACAGGCATCATGCCTTTGACAAGGCATCAGAAAGAGTTCATAGGTTGGGAAAACACTTACCTGGCCTCCCCTTAAGATGTGCAGGGCTATCCTAGCAACTGCAGCCAACACTGTTAGTGACTTCTTTTCCAGCCTTCCCTGCAGCTAAGGATGGCTACGTGACTTGATCTGACAAAGGAGACGTGAAGCTGGGAGTTTGTTCCTGACAGTCCCCTATGAGGATAGGCTGCCTTTACCCTCTTCTTGACTTCAATGCAGATGCAATGCTGGAACATCCTGTGACTGAGGACAAAAACCCAAATGCTAAGGACAGTGACATGGAAAATGGGAGTGGAGTCCCTGAAGGCATCCCTGAGCACTAGAACCAAGGCCAGCAGCTGCCTATGTGCCTACCTCTTAAGTGAGAGAAAAACAATCTTCGTTGATATCATGAACCCATTGTTTACTACTAGCAGCCAAATGTATTTTTTTTTAAAGATTTGAGAGAAAGCATGCCAGTGAGTGGGGAGAGAGTCCCAAGCAGACTCTGTGAGGAGCCCGATGTGGGGCTCAATCCCATGACCCTGAGATCATGACCTGAGCAGAAACCAAGAGTCAGACGCTTAACCTACTGCGCCACCCAGACACCCCAAATGTATTCTTATTTAACACAGCAACATGGGGCCTGACCTGCCTCATAGCTATTCCTACTTTCCCATAAACCAATCAGCAAGCAAGGAAAGTTCTCATTTCTTGAGATTTCTCCAAAGATGTATTGTCCTCAAGTACAACTAACAGGCCTTTTCCCACTTCACACTAACAAGACCCTGTGGGGTCCTCCAATTTATCAGGTCTGTGGACTCATTCTCCAAAAACTGTCTAGGACAAGCAATTCTGTTACCAACCTGCAGCATATGAGTGGGTCCCCCAGTGCTGCTGCTTGTCTGGGACTTGGGAATACAGAGGCTACAGACTTGGACCAACACCAGTGAAGCTTAAGGGTCTTCCTCTCATCTGGAAATGGCTTTGAGAGGCCCATGGAAGCTAGGCCACTGTTTTCAGTATCTACCTAGAAAAAATTTACTCTGTAAAGACAAATTTTAAGAGTAATATGGCTCTTAAAAGAGCAACAGAACCCCTTTGTGCCCACCCATCCCATGTTTAGTTGGAAAAAGAGGGTGCCTGGGTAGCTCAGTTGGTTAAGCCTCTGCCTTTGACTTGGGTCATGATCCCAGGGTCCTGGGATCGAGCCCCACATCGGGCTCCCTGCTCAGCAAGGAGCCTGCTTCTCCCTCTCCCTCTGCTTGCTGCTCCCCCTACTTATGTTCTCTGTCAATTAAATTCTTAAAAAAGTGGAAAAAGAAACTCCCCCCTTCTCTGAGTCCTTTGTGTGCAATGTCTATTACATCACAGATACCCTGTTCTAGTAGATATACCTATGTAAAGTGATTTCAGCAACAGAATAAGATCAAGTTTTGGGTAAATTATGTGCTTTGCTATCAAATACTTTCCTCTCCAGGCGTGAAAGTGAGGAACCATTCAGTCAGCTGGTGTGTCAGACTTCCCTATCTGAATGTGGTCTCCAAACTAGGGAACTGAAGAGGTGTAGACAGCAAGGGACACTCCTAAATAGCAAGCTTTGATGAACCTACCAAACATGATCTCAACCAGGAGGGCACCCAATTTTTCTTTCATTTTTCTTTTTTTAAAAAAATATTTATTTAGGGGCCCCTAGGTCACTCAGTTGGTTAAGCATTCAGCTCAGATCATGATCCTGGGGTCTTGGGATCAAGGCCTGCATCAGCTTCTCCCTCTCCCCCTCTGTCCCCGCCCCCATGCTCTAATAAATAAATAAAATCTTTTTTAAAAATGAAATCTGAGAGAGAGAGAACCTCAAGCAGACTCTCTGTTGAACACAGGGCCCGACCCCACGACCCTGAGATCATGACCTGAGCTGAAATCGAGTTCAGATACCCAACCAAGTGACCCAGGTGCCCCTTTTTTTAAAAAATTTTTTTCTGGGGACACCTGGGTGGCTCAGTTGTTAAGTGTCTGCCTTTGGCTCAGGTTATGGGGTTGCGCCCTGTGTGGGGCTCCCTGCTCACCAGGAAGTCAGCTTCTACCTCTCCCACTGCCCCTCCCTCCAATTCATGCTCTCTCCCTATCTCACATAAATAAAATCTTAAAAAAATTTTTTTTTTAAATTTTTTAAGGAATCTGTACACCCAACGTGGGGCTTGTACTCAAAACCTGAGATCAAGAGATGATTGCTCCTCCAACCATGCTAGCCAGGTGCCCCGACCCAATTTTTCCAAAGAAAGTCTGTATTATGGCTTTTCCCCCTAAAGTTAATGTATTAACGCTATGGACAAATTTTGGCCATGTTAATCCCACAACATATGTCTGTCTGTTCGAAAGCAGCTTTTTTTTTTTTTTTTAATTCTTTAAGTAATCTCCACACCCAACGTGGGGCTCAAAGTCACAACCCCAAGATCAAGAGTCATGTGTTCTACCAACTGAGTCAGCCAGGCACCTGGGATAGAAACAATTTTAAATTTTTGTTTGTATCTGCAAAGAGGTTAACAATGAACCTTGAGCTCCTTGCTAACAGACTCTAGAACCAGTGCCTCTGCCTAGGGGTACAGGAGGATGAACATGACCACTGCCCTGAACCTGGTTTGTCTTCATTTGTAATCTTGAAGCAAGTGATTCCTATCAGACCAGTCATCTCTTCTTAAGCCAATTTAATGGCCTTGTGGGTTCTATTATGCATTTTCTGGTCCTTTTAGTCATAACCAGGCAGAAAACACATCAACTTCCCCTCCTCTCTGCCCCCAGACCAGCTTCTGGATTGGCTACTCATCTACTGCTGACAGGTCTCTCAGGTTTTAAAACTTTAACACTAAACCTCAGATGCTAAAATTGTCCAACAGTTGCAAGAAAGACAAAATGTATTATACAAGACTGTTCTGATAAGACCATGTTTTAATTGCCTATGACATGGATACATCACATAATGGCTCAAAATGTAAGATTAAAGAAAAAGATGAAAACGAGTTTGTGAATCCTTAATTTTAAGTAAGCTTCTGGCAAAAACAAAACAAAAAAACCCCAAAAAGCCAGGGGTTAGAATCATTTCAAAATTGTGTCTTCAAAACTAGCACCTTTCACCATCTGCTTTTATTCATTTTGCTGTGATACAACTAAAAAGGCCCGTAAATACCCCCCTGGGTCTCAAGTAACAGTTTTCTGAGAGCAAAAATGTCACTTTCTCTGTGCAGTGAAAGCTGGCATTTGGATGGGCTGGATCGGGTGGACAGGCTGGAACACTGGCTTCTTTCTCATCTCAGACAATGTTTTCACTGTGGGGAGCAGTTGATTCCTTTTGATGATCTGTAAGGCCAGCTGGGTATTACCTATAAAAACACTTCCCATTAAAAAAAAAAAAGCATAAACAATACCATGTGCAAAGCAAGCCATCAGCATCATGCAAGGGAAGTAAAAGAGGGTCTGGGAGAGCAGTGGTCTGCAACCTTTGCTACACACTGAAGCCACATCATGTCTCCATCCCATCCCCAGAAATTCTGATTTAAGAGATCTGGGGTGTGACCTGGGCAAGGGGATTTTTAGGGGTGCCTGGGTGGCTCAGTCATTAAGCGTCTGCCTTCGGCTCAGGTCGTGATCCCAGGGTCCTGGGATCGAGCCCCACATCGGGCTCCCTGCTCTGTGGGAAGCCTGCTTCTCTCTCTCCCACTCCCCTGCTGTGATGTGTCTCTCTCTGTCAAATAAATAAATAAATAAAATCCTTAAAAAAAAAAGAGGGATTTTTAAAAGCCCTAAGGTTTTTCTAAGGTATGACCCAGCTTGCAAACTTGTCTCCAGGTAGACTGCATGGAAGAAGGGCACTAGGACCAGTGCACTAACCCTATTCACACCTTTCAGGAGGCCAAGGCCAGAGGGGTACCAGGCACTTAATGCTATAAAAAAGCTATCGAAAGAGGGAACCATGTAAAGATTCCCATGATCAAAAGGAGGCATGACTTAGAACTCTTAATGTTTGTTTAATTTCTTCCATTCATGTCTCTTCTCTACTTCATGCTGTCTCTTATATAGGGCCCACAGTCATTTTTCTCAGAAGCCATGTCCTTAAAGGTTGTATGTGCTCCAGAAGTCTGACCTGGATTTAGGTCTGGATAACTGTCAGCAAGAACTGGTTTACTGTAAAACTCATTAATGACATCTATGTTCAAAATACTACAGTGTACAACTCTTAGCAACTGGCATTCTGCCTCATGTTCTCAATTCAAGTCATTTGGCTGCCTAAGAGAAAGGTTAATTAGTAGGGATTAATTATAATTGTCAGAAGTTATGCTTTCCTGTATTTTCACAGATAAAAGGAAATACGGTTAAGTCACAAGAAGCAGGAATTTGTAAGATACCAAAAACTCCCTAGCTACATTTTTTTCTAGAACTTGATGGGTAATATCTTCAAGGAAGGCAAAGTTTCAAATTCGAAGAGATAGATCAGACACCCAAAACCTTGGGTTCTTTGAAGGGATACAGTCCTTTTGTTTTTGTTTTTAAACTTCTATTTAAGTAATCTCTACACCCAACGTGGGGCTTGAACTCACAACCCCAAGATCAAGAGTTGCATGCTCTTCCAACTGACCCAGTCATCTCTGAAGGGATACAGTCCTAACTGGAGAGAATTACTTACCATTTTGCAGTTCAAGGTAGACTGCCAATAAGATGGCTTCAGGGGGCACCTCTTTAGGATGGATCATTGAAGCCGCCTTTGCTCAACAAAAAAGACACCCATGAAAAACCAACAGCTTAAGACACAAACTCCAAGTAATGCTGGGGGTGGGGGTGGGGGGAAGCCTACCAATGACAAGTTAGCAAACTCATTCCCACATGACCTCCTAGCAACTACTATCATTCTGTTCTGATGCCCCTCAGCTACCTTTGTCCTCATCCCTACTGATTAAACTAGACATGTAATTTTTCTTTAAATGATTCACTATTCATTTTCCCTTACCTAGTCCATAATGAGTTCTTAATAGGGGAAAGCTTTTCTTCCCTCTTGTTTTCACCTGCTTGGGGTTCTTCTTCCATGTCTTGGCTCTATTTGGTTTTGAGAAGGGTGACCAGACACTCGGGATTCTGCACTCCAGTCATTGGTCCAGGTCGGTTGTTGGTGGTTCTTCACCACAGACATGGTTGCACTTATATTAAAATCTGCATGTCCATTTGTTTTCCTAAGTAACAACTCAGTATTGCAGGTCTCAAGTTCCCAAAGTTAGCAATAAGAATTCAAACTTAAAAGTTGGTAATACAGAAAAAAAAATACCACTAAGCATGTTCAATGTCCCCATTTTTAAGGACTGAAACAGTACAATTTTGTCAAATAAATTTAATTGTTTAAGCAACATGCTATTCTTTCCTGGATCTGAGAGTCACTTCTCTAGCTAGCAATTTCTCTCTGACTTAGTCGTGAGAAAGGAAGCCTAGCCTGCTCTGGTCAATGGTGCTGAGATCATAGGTTTATTTCCTCAGTCTGGGCCTCTTTGGGCTGCAGCCTTTTCTCACACCTTACTATCAACTTGTATTCCCCCATCCAGTCTCAGGTACTCTGGCTTCCAGGCTGCCCTGCTTCTTCCCTTCATCTTATCAAAAAGTGTACTTGTATAAACATTTACTGATCAGAGGTGAGTGTGTGGGTAAGACAGGGACTCATCCTGACAATAAACGGGCATGCAAACAACTAACAATAATCCAAACAAATTGATCCAAATGCTAGGGGGAGAAGAGAATGAATGTACTGTGAATATGAAGAGAGAAAAATGTTTCTTTTGAATGGAGAGCTTCAGGGCAAGGGGCACCTGCCGTAGTCCTTGCAGGGTGGATATTGGGTAACAGAAAATGGGGAGAAAGGCCTTGTAGACCGAACTGTGCAGATGGGAGATGTGTGGGGGACCAGAAGCTTGCACAAGGTCAGTTCCCAGCAGCCTCAGAAGAGATCTTGGATGAGCAGGTATGCTCTCATCCAGGGCACACCCTTAAGTTCTTCACGAACGAAGCAGGGAGGCTTTTATTTCTCTCACCACATCATGGAGGTATAATGACTCTGTTCAGAAAATGAGATTTTACACTTCTAGGCCAAGCTTCATACAGGCAAGATCATCTTTACAGCATTTTGTGGGTACTAAAATCTCTATTTTGCCTTCAAGTGGCTGGTTAACACAGGTCATTTATTGTTCTTTGCACTGATCACAGTCTGCAGCTTTCTCTAAAATACAGGCATTCACAACAGCAACTTTATGAGACTTGATGGTGCTCTGCTTACTGGCTGTTCAGAATGGCTAGTGGCGGGGAGGCAACCTCGGAAACACCTCCGTGGAGCCCTTTCCAACTCTTCACGTCACTGTCCTGCCCTCCGAGGCACGGTGGGCCTCCCAATTAACAAAGATCCAGCCACTGGATTAACCTAAAAACCAAGGGACCAAAACAAAACCCCCTTCAGACCCTGAGCCAGGCCTGAGCCCATCTGTCTCTCCCAGCGTGGCAGCCGCCATGGCCACCTGCTGTACGAGAACCTGAGCTAGACCGTGCATACTGCAACTTTAGATCAAAAGTCCTGTTTGTTGGGGTGCCTGGGTGGTTCAGATGGTTGAGCGTCTGCCTACAGCTCAGGTCATGGTCCCAGGGTCCTGGGATTGAGCCCCGAATCGGGCTCCCTGTTTGGTGGGGAGCCTGCTTCTCCCTCTCCCTCTACTGTTCCCCCTACTTGCGCTCTCTCGTTCTGTCAAATAAATAAATAAAATCTTAAAAAAAAAAAAAAAAAAAGTCCTCTTTGCTGTAATCAACTCCTTCCCAATCAACTGGTGTAACTCAACTGCAAGATAATAGCAAACATGTTTCCTTGGATAGTCCATCACTTAACATTTCTGATTTTGAATCAGAAGTGCCGACCAGATGCCACTTTAACTAAATATCACTCGTGGTTATTTTGCACATGGTAAGATTCTTCATGGCTCTATATGACAAAGTGGTCTTCACAGGAAGAACATTTCCAGAAGCCACCAAATCTCTTGAGAATAGGTGTAATTTCAATTTTAGCTACTCTGACAAGCATATAGGGACATGGGCTCTCTCCTGTGCTCCTGGTGATTATACCATTTGACACAAACTTTCCATATTAGAAGTCTTAAAATTCTGCACACCCTCTGACGTCGCAATTCCCTTTACAGGCAGGGTTGCATCATGCCTACCTATTTTTACTGTTTGATTCCCATGGCTTACCAAGAAGTAGTGCTCACATGCTTGCAATTTGAATTAGTATCTTTTTGAGGAATTACCCCTTTCTGAGTTTTTGACCCAGCCTCTGGAGCTGCCATTGGTGCTATCTGGTCACCTGGTCCCCTAGTGCAAGTAAGGGTCCATGTTCATGACTGCTCCAGGGATGGGCAGGAAACCTAAAGAGGCTCAATCAGAATCTTCCCAGAGACCTACTGATGATACATCATTTCAGTGGTAGAATTCAGAGGTGTATTTTAGTTACATGTTGCCAGTAATTTTCTTTAACATATGTGGAATTTCTTTGGCACCAGCTTTCTTCTGAAGTCTCCCGTTTTAGTGGTCCAGCCACACAGTACTTATCCTGCTGCCCCATAAGCAGTGTTGGTGGTTTCTAGTATGTCCTTTCAGAGCTCTCGTATGCACATACACAATCATAAAGCAACAGTTTTAAATCTTGGTCTTTTCACTTAGTATATCTTGGATATCTTATCATTTTAGTACACAGAGTTTACAGCGGCATTGTGTTCGACTGTATGGATGCACCGTTATTTAAGTGATCCCTTATTTAGATAGTTTCCAATCTTCTGAAATTTTAATTATAAAAACCATTGGGAAAAATCCTCCATTAAGTGCCTACGTTCATTTGTAATAGCTGATCAGTTGTTTACCTTGCAAGAATATTTCTAAGCTTGGAAAAGTAATATTCCAATTTTTAACAAATTGACCAGAGCCTCAAACAAAGTAACAAAACCCAGAAACTCCAAACCCTTTGCTGGCTGCCTTACAAGAGGGCTTAGCCCCACCACTTCCAGCCTCACCTGGTGGAGACACTTTCGGGCTTTGTCGTATTCGCTCCTCAGGCAGTAGGCGCTGCCAAGATTGAATAGCATCACGGTCCTGGCAGAGGTGACCGAACTGGGGTAGCACTGAGGGGCCCGCTTCCCAGCTGGGGAAAAAGAACGTGGACCCTGGTGAAGAGGCCGGGTCAAGGGCAAGGGGGCAACCCAATCCACCGCCCCAGCAGCTGCTCAGACTAAAGCACAAGGCTACTTCTTAGGTTGACAAATGGACACAAAAGGCTTGAGCCTACATCTTTTGGATGCAAAGCCAGGCTACTTTAAGTATTTACAAAACTTCTTACTCACAGGATTCCATTGCTTCATTTTCACCTTTGTCTGAGCCTACAAAAACATGAAAACAAACCTGAGGGGGAAGGACAACAGAGTATATTTTCTAGAAACCTAATTTTGTTTATGAAATGGAAAATCTAGTATCATAGCAATCTGTAATGTCACAGTGTTTACTTTTCATGTAGTGGAGGTTCTATTAGAGGACACCAGAAGGTACCACCCACCACCACCCCATTCCTGCATAATATCTTGAATAAAGTGAATGCCAGTCTTACTTTCTTAAAAACTTAGGGATGATTTAAAACTGACTTTTGAGGGGCGCCTGGGTGGCTCAGTCATTAAGCGTCTGCCTTCAGCTCAAGTCATGATCCTGGGGTCCTGGGATCAAGCCCAGCACGGGGCTCCCTGCTCCACGGGAAGCCTGCTTCTCCCTCTCCCACTCCCCCTGCTTGTGTTCCCTCTCTCGTTGTGTCTCTCTCTGTCAAATAAATAAAATCTTTAAAAAAAAATAATAATAATAAAAAATAAAACTGACTTTTGAATGCTTTTTTCTACTTTCCCCTAGACTGCAGAATCCCTTTAAGGAGAAAAATACAGTATGAGAATCAAAACAAATTTTTCTACTACCAGCCTTTCAAAAGTGAGAGTCTATTTCTTTCTTTAAAATAGTCTTTCTTGGGGCGCCTGGGTGGCTTAGTTGTTAAGCATCTGCCTTCGGCTCAGGTCATGATCCGGGGTCCTGGGATTAAGCCCAGCACTGGGCTCCCTGCTCCGTGGGAAGCCTGCTTCTCCCTCTCCCACTCCCCCTATTTGTGTTCCCTCTTGCTGTGTCTCTCTGTCAAAAAAATAAAATAAAATCTTAAAAAATAAAATAAAATAAAATAGTCTTTCTTGGGGCGCCTATGTGGCTCAGTCAGTTGGGTGTCTGCCTTCAGTTCAGGTCATGATCCCGGGGTCCTGGGATTGAGTCCCGCATCAGGCTCCCTGCTCAACGGGAGTCTGCTTCTCCCTCTGCCCCTCAACCTGGCTCATGCTGTCTCTCTCTCGCTGTCTCTCAAATAAATAAAAATCTTAAAAAAAAAAAAAAAAAAAGTTAAAAAAAGAAAATAGTCTTTCTTTTCTTTCTTCTTCTTTTCTCTTTTTTTTGGTCTGCTCTACACCCAACGTGGTGCTTGAACTCACACCCTGAGATCAGAGTTTCATGCTCTTCTGACTGAGCCAGCCAGGCACCCCTCTAAAGTAAGCATTTAGACCATGTGATTATCAACTCTTAGGTCTACTCAGCACATAATTACTACAAAATATGTACAGCCAAAAATGTAGAGAGCCAACCCAAAACTTCTTTCCCTTCACAACTGTGCCTTCAGATTTCCACACATCCAAGAAGGAGGTGGAAATGATGACCGGTTCTGATCAAATGTGTCCTCACTAACCTTGGTCCTGCTCATTTGAAGAGATCCCTAAGGAAACATCAGTGACATTCTCTGGGTTCAAGTGAGTAATGGCATCAGATATTCTGTCCAGAGAGATGAGGGCTTCTGCAGCATATAAATGGCCCAAAAACCTAAGATGAAAAGAACAGATTCCAAACTGAGAAGTAGGTCATCACAAAACACCCAATGTATAACAAGATTTGGTGTACATATGCTTCACATATTTCAAATCTTTGAATTGAAATAGAAGTTTATAAATGGATCAATTAAAGGTCACTTAACTCTTACCTCTTTATATAAAAATATCTTAAAATATACAATAATTTTTATATCAGCTAAGCTGGAACAAATGACACATATCAATTAAGAAAAAAGTCCAGAATTGGCAAATTTACTATTCTGTTTATGCAGAAAATAACATTAACATGAGGAAAGGAATGAAGTTCTAAAATAAGAGACAGGTCCAAGGATGAATCCTCTAGTCTCCGCTGCTGGAATAGTCAAAACACATCAGGGTGCCAAACGGGACTCAGACCAGATTTGGGTTAGATCAACTTTACTTTCTATCCCAAAGGTTTCCTGCTTTTCAAATCATCTATTTTATGCCTACTGATGTTTTTAGGACAAATACGCATCCTCCCGGCTTATAAGAGCCTGCTTCTTCCGGTCTTTTACTTACAGGCCATTTTTCTCTATGATCACCTGATTGATTTTTCAAAATTAAAAGAGGATTAGGTATATTCCACCCTTGCTGAAAATCTTAATGACTTTTCCTACCTGAGAACAAAACTTTTTATCAACTTAAAGCTCTCCAAGTTTGGTCCCACTTTTCTATATCCAGTCAATATTCCCACCCCCTCAAAAATTGCTCTGGTCCTACCAGACAGTGTCCTGGGCAGGGCGCACCCACCGTTCCCCCATGGCCTGGCCTTCTTGGGCAAGCCTGGCCTCATCTCCACAAGCCAACATCTATTCCTCCTTTTATTTTATTTTTTAAGATTTTATTTTCAAGTAATCTCTATACCCAATGTGTGGCTTGAAATCACAAACTTGACATCAACAATTGCATGCTCTACCAACTGAGCCAGTCAGGGATCTCTCTACTCCTCCTTTTAAATGGCCAGCTAGGTCTCACCTACTCTAGCTAGCCTGACCCAACTGAATCTGTCCCCATGAATCTCGAGTCCTCAAATTTTAGGCTCTTTTCGGGGCGCCTGGGTGGCTCAGTTGGTTAAGCGACTGCCTTCGGCTCAGGTCGTGATCCTGGAGTCCCGGGATCGAGTCCCACATCGGGCTCCCTGCTCAGCGGGGGGGTCTGCTTCTCCCTCTGACCCTCTTCCCTCTCGTGCTCTCTGTCTCTCATTCTCTCTCTCTCAAATAAATAAATAAAATCTTTAAAAAAAAAAAAAAATTTTAGGCTCTTTTCAATATAACCTTTTTAGAGATTTACACATATTAACCACTCAAGAGCTCTTTAATTCTTTATTAAGCAATTTCTTCTAACTAAGAGGGGCTGCAATGACCTTATTTTGGTTCTCTACCAAATACCCTAACAGAAATGACAAGTTTTTAAAAAATCAGTAGGGGCGCCTAGGTGGCTCAGTCGTTAAGCGTCTGCCTTTGGCTCAGGTCATGATCCCGGGGTCCTGGGATCGAGCCCCACATCAGGCTCCCTGCTCAGCAGGAGGCCTGCTTCTCCCTCTCCCCCTGCTTGTGTTCCCTCTCTCGCTGTCTCTCTCGTCAAATAAATAAATAAAATCTTTAAAAAATCAGTAACTTCACTTATATTTTGAAATAAGATAATTTAAAAATTTCATTAAAGTAGTACCCACAAGCCAGTAATCATTACAAAACAGAAACACATAAATTCAAAGAACTACTTCAAATTGTCTTCTGTGAATTACTTTATTAAAAACATCTTCCTTCTGGGGCACCTGGGTGGCTCAGTCGTTAAGCGTCTGCCTTCGGCTCAGGTCATGATCCCAGGGTCCTGGGATGGAGCCCTACATCGGGCTCCTTGCTCAGCGGGAAGCCTGCTTCTCCCTCTCCCACTCCCCCTGCTTGTGTTCCCTCTCTCGCTGTCTCTCTCTGTCAAAAAATAAATAAAATCTTTTAAAAAATTAAAAAAAAAAAATCTTCCTTTTTTAGCCAAATGAAATGCCTTCATGACACTCAAAGCCAAGAAATCTTTGACCAGGTGTACAGAAAGCAAAAAGTTGTGGGGTAAAGCTGCTGTGGTATGTGAGCTGCCAAATGCAGAATTACCTGCTTGTCTTTGCTGGGAAGACAGACAGTGGCCTTGTTATTAATTAAGAAACCAATACTTAGGAAAGAATAGTTAAGAGAATTAAAAAAGAAATCAAGAGAATTAAAAAAAGAAATTGCCAGACACAGCTTGGCCAATCCCTCAAAAGTTGATAAACTTAAAAACCCTCCAACGAATGCCAAGTAAAGAATCTACCTGGGATTTGAGAACAGTGACCACAATGTCAACCAAAGAGGTTGAAAAAGCAGTGAAGATTTGTGTTTCACTTCTGTTAAACAGCAAAACAAACCAAACACTGCTCTAATCATGGCCGTGGCACCACAGGCCAAGTGTGGACTTCGGCGGCAACTCTGGGCTGCTACTTCCCCGAGTTGGACGGTGGTGTCCTCAGAGGCAACCCCGCTGCTTGAACTGGAACTCGGGATCCCTCCAGGTCTCAATGTTAGGCAAGGCTTTCTTATATTTGATTGTGGCAAAGCCTCTTATGTTACTGGATATTCTTTTAATTATCTTTTTTTTTTTTTTGAAACACAAGATATGTTTGGGAAACACTGACCTAAAATAACCGTAATCATTGTTAATTTTAGATGACTGTATAAAGTCATACTTTTTCTTCTTTTTTCTTTTTTTTTAAAGATTTTATTTATTTATTTGAGACAGAGAGAATGAGAGAGACAGAGAGCACATGAGAGGGGAGAGGGTCAGAGGGAAAAGCAGGCTCCCTGCCAAGCAGGGAGCCCGACGCAGGACTCGATCCAGGGACTCCAGGATCATGACCTGAGCCGAAGGCAGTCACTTAACCAACTGAGCCACCCAGGCACCCAAAGTAATACTTTTTCTTAAGGACAAACATAATTAAACATCAACAGAATTATTCCTCAGAGTATGATCTCCCAATTCTAAGCATTGCACATTATAAACAAAGACCATTAAAAGGCAAGAGTAAGTAATTATATTCTGGAGATTATAGGTATATACCTACAGGATGAATGAAAAAACAACTGTCCTAATGTTATGCAGAGTATCTGTGGTTCCGAATAAAATTTCTAGCAGAGCATCATACAAAGATTCAAAGACAGCTGCATCTCACTCAACCTCCATAAATGGAAAGAGAGGTGTTTTAGCCAATTTTAGACTGACAATGACACTAATACTGAAGAGGCATAAAACTCAGGTAGTCAGAATTGTTATCTATTTAACTTGCATTCCTTGAAGCAGATTTATCATGCTGACTAAACTCCTGTTTTTGTGGGTCTTCTTCCTGAGGACTCATCTTATTTTGGGGACTAATACGTGAAAATATGCTCCAGTCAGGCCTAGTAGTGGACACTAGACAGTGCAAAGTTTCTGCCTCCTGATACTCAGTACAGCAAATGCTACTTCCCTTAATCCTCGAGGTACAACAAGGGAAAAGAACTACCAAATTAATGTTTTAGTCAGTTGCTTTGTCTAGATAATACATCCCACTGGGGGAGTAAAGAGCAGCAATATGTACCACACACTAATTGAAAACCTCCAAACAAAACGACCCTGGGACACACAGGGGAAGTCACACTTACTTAAGCGATCCTGACAGCTTGGGCTGCTGAAGAAGTTTATCTGCGTGATTCAAAGCCATAAGGTTATCACCCAAAGCCAGAGCCACGTAAGCACTACAGGCAAGTATGGAGCATCTGGAACACAAAAGGGAAGGGCTGAAAATCTGAGTTACAAAATTGACAATGGTTGTATTTGTTATTAAATATGAAAGAACGCCCTAATTAAAGCTGTGACAATCTGGACACCAGGAAAGAAGAGAGAGGAAGTCACAACAGTAATGGTAAGAATTAGGATGATGTATAAAACTACCATCTGAGGCACAGTGTGGCTATCTACCCAAACCATCTTTAGCTTCCATCCAACTGACCCCCATCTCCAACAAAATAACCAAAAGGAGTTACAATATTTAGCCTGTAAAAAAATATGTAGTTAATGGCCTAGTGAGAATTTACTTCCCATAGAACACTTAACATCCTAGAAATAAAGCTCCAGAAGCAGATTACTATTCTTTCAAACTCATTTCGCCGAGAAACACAATTAACTCACTAAAAAATCCACTTAGCTTAAAGTATTCTTCTCTGAACCTGTTACGTCTATAGTTCTTGCTAAGCAACAATATCAAGAGTAACTAAAAGAATTTCATTCATACACGTACTATTACCCTAAATGAATATTCAAGAAAGAAATCAGGCTGAGTAAATACACGTGAAGATAAGAAAATTTAAGTTACATTGACTTTGCTAAGTTGCATTGGAAAGCAAACTTCTGTTTGGTTTTCTACTTAACGGGCAGCTCATTTGAAACAGGTCTAGCTAAAGACTTGACACTAATAGATCACTTGAATGTTAAACAACCGCTCCAAAAAGCAATCTTAAAATAAACCCCTGTCAAATAGAAATGAGGTCTGAACGGCCAACCACAAATGACCCAACTTAGATACAGGGTTTTGAGTTATGTTTACAAATTACAGTACATATGTGTATCATTAAGTACATTCGGGCTGTAATTTCAGTCTAAGGAAGAATGCAACCCCCACAGCCCTGCAGTTTTCTAATAATCTGAAATCCTTAACTAGAAATGGCCCTTCTAAAAGTGCCGTAGCTGGGCAAATCAGACAAACAGAAGTAGTCTGCTGTTTCCTCTTCACTGAATGAGTCCTGGGTGTTGGAACCTTGGAAAATTACCCTATTAAAGGCAAAATAGTCCCCTCAGCAACTCACAACACAGAAAAGTAGACTGGTCCCAGAGGAGACACAAGGAAATTGAGATTCATGGCCTTAGGCTACAATGGTAGGGGCTGAAAGAGTGCCTAATGTCGTCCCTTGTTTTAAAAAGATAGAGATTGAAATCCAAAGTCATTTAATATATTCTCTAGCTTAGAGTGTGTGATTAGAGTTAGGACTAACATTCAACACCATGGACTCCTAATTCACTGCCCTTCCCATCCTATCATATTACTTCACTATCGGTTCACAAGACCACCTGAAAATAAAGTAGAAAGAAAAGATTGTTATGATTTTCCCAATGCATTCGTAACTATGCAGACAACAAATGTAGGTACTTAAGCCTGTCTCTTTAAAAGGGAAGAAAACAGAAGGTAATGTTTAAATTTTTTTATTGTTATATTAATCCCCATACATTACATCATTAGTTTTAGATGTAGTGTTCCATGATTCATTGTTTGTGCGTAACACCCAGAGCTCCATGCAGAACGTGCCCTCTTTAATACCCAACACCAGGCTAACCCATCCTCCCACCCCCCTCCCCTCTAGAACCCTCAGTTTGTTTTTCAGAGTCCATCGTCTCTCATGGTTCGTCTACCCCTCCGATTTCCCCCCCTTCATTCTTCCCCTCCTGCTATCTTCTTTTTTTTTTTTCTTAACATATATTGCATTATTTGTTTCAGAGGTACAGATCTGAGATTCAACAGTCTTGTACAATTCACAGCGCTTACCAGAGCACATACCCTTCCCAGTGTCTATCACCCAATCAGCCCATCCCTCCCACCCCACCCCCCACTCCAGCAACCCTGTTTGTTTCCTGAGATTAAGAATTCCTCATATCAGTGAGGTCATATGATACATGTCTTTCTCTGTTTGACTTATTTCACTCAGCATCAAAGTTTAAATTTTTTTAAAAGATTTTATTTATTTGAGAGAGAGTGCAAGCAAGAGACCTGACAAGCAGGGGAAGCAGGAGAGAGAGAGGGACAAGCAGACTCCCCACTGAGCAGGGAGCCTCCCATGGGGCCGATCTCAGGACCCCGAGATCATAACCTGAGCGGAAAGCAGCCGCCTAACCGACTGAGCAACCCAGCCGCCCCTCCAAAGTTTAAATTTTCTTACTGAGCACATAATTTAAAATCTGAACCCTGTTCACATAAGAGAATAAGAACAGGCAAGTAATGTCCTTCTCAAAGGGATTTTTTGACAAGCTTACTGTCAATATCCCTATGTTTCCAAGAGTTGTCTTTACCAGCCAAGCTGTCCTGTGGCCACAGCCCCGAGGGGGCATCCTCTCTCTGATGGAAGAAGCAAGGGCCCAAAGAAGGGAGGCAATGGCTAGTTATCTCCCCCATGCAGTAGCTCCTCAGTGCTTAGCTCTGTGTCGTGAGATTAGGGTGACTTAATTTCCTCTTTTGGCTTATTTGTACTATTTTATTTATTTATTTAAAAGATTTTATTTATTTATTTGACAGAGAGAGACACAGTGAGAGAGGGAACACAAGCAGGGGGAGTGGGAGAGGGAGAAGCAGGCTTCCCGAGGAGCAGGGAGCCCGATGCGGGGCTCGATCCCAGGACCCTGGGATCATGACCTGAGCCGAAGGCAGACACTTAATGACTGAGCCACCCAGGTGCCCCTGTACTATTTTAAAATGGCAACGAACACAAATTCATCAGCCAGGTATGTATGCTTATGAAGAAAAGGACTTTTAAGGCCTAAGTCTCCAGAGGCCCAAGAAAGCCATCAGCTCAGGGCCTATATGAACGAAAATCACTAAGTTTAATATCCATTTTCATCCATGACTTGGCCAAAGATCAGACATAAGCTCCTTCAAAGCAGAAGCCCACCACCTTTTGTTTCCTGCACTAACACTGGAACAATTCCTCAGCATCTACGCAGTAGGTGTTTAACAGATAATCACTGAAGACCACAGCTTTCAACATTTTTTGACTTACTGCTCCAGGCACGCAGACCTCCACCTGTCTTGTTGGCAGGCTGCCTCACTGACGAAGCCACCTCTTTCCCAGCTCCCACAGACAGGAGAGTCATCCTGCATGCTCTGGGGCCTAGCGTCTAGGACAGCCACACCTCAGGCAGGCTTGCTGGGAAAAGCCTGCCCTGGCCTCTCCCGACAGTAGGGGGCTATTACTGCTCCAGCCCACTGTCAAGCCCACTTTGGGTCCAGAAATCAGTCATGTAAGATTGCAGCAGGTTTCTGCTGCCCAGGAAGTCCAGACTGCAGCTATGTACCAGGTAAAAATCTGGTTTCCTCAACTTTTACCCTTTTTTCCCAGAAGAGATCCTATCAAATCACAACAGGGTAGAAGATTCTACTAATAATCTTTCTTTTCAAAAATACTTAAATATGTCAAGCAGAACTCTGTGGCTGGCATTCTGATCAAGAGCTGTCAGGATTAAGCAAGTTTCATTGCTTGCACAAAACTAAAACTAACATTTATGGCCCCTCTTCCCTTAATGCCTCACAATCTATCCCAACCTCTCATCATCCTCACTCATCCTCCTTTTCCTCTAGGAAACAATATTCTACTCTGCCATTAATTCCTACTGAGTGCTAACACTAGAAACACATATAGCTCTATCTACTAAGCCCCTGGAGAAATCACTTTACCTTTGAGAGTTGCTACTTAAAATACTAACCCCCCCCCCGCCCCCCACTTCCCTGAGTCACTGTCCAATCTGCTTTACCAACCACACAGTGGATCTGACAGTTCATCAGACTGGAAGAACTATACCTCAAGGGAAGAGACACACTAGCTTTCCATCCCCTGCCCCCAGTCTACAACCCCCCCCAACTGGAGGATCTGACATAACCCCATACTCTCTCCTCTACATGTGGGAGGAACTTGCTCTAGGTCCATAGAATGCCAACCCTTGGAAAGGAAAGAACAAAAAAGAAAAAAGAAAAGAAATGGGGGTAGGGACTTTCCTTAAAGCATCAAATTACAGCAACAAGGTATATAAGACTGGGCATCAAAAGTCTATCAAGCCACATATTCTGTAATGAGTTAAATGAATCTAAACCAAATGTCTGAAATAGTTTAACCCTTATTAAAAGAGGCTAAAATGGGGGTAAATCTAGTCAGTCACCATGTGTCAAAGGAAATTATAAAGAGATCTTACAGCAAACAAGTTTGAAAAATTGGCCCAAAAAATCCAATAAAGAATTTCTTCCAGGGGACGTGCCTGGGTGGCTCAGTCAGTTGGGCATCTGCCTTCGGCTCAGGTCATGGTCCCAGGGTCCTGGGATCGAGCCCCACGACGAGAGGCTAGATGGGGAGACTGCTTTTCTCTCTCTCTCTCTCTCTCAAATAAATAAATAAAATCTTTTTCTTTTTTAAAAGATTTTTATTTATTTATTTGACAGAGAGACGGAACGCAAGCAGCAGGAGCGGGAGAGGGAGAAGCAGGCTTCCCGAGGCGCAGGGAGCCCGATGTGGGCTCGATCCCAGGACCCTGGGATCATGACCTGAGCCAAAGGGAGACGCTTAATGACTGAGCCACCCAGGCGCCCTAAATAAATAAAATCTTTTTTTTTTTTTTTTTAAAGATTTTATTTGAGAGAGAGAATGAGATAGAGAGAGAGCATGAGAGGGGGGAGGGTCAGACGGAGAAGCAGACTCCCTGCTGAGCAGGGAGCCCGATGCGGGACTCGATCCAGGGACTCCAGGATCATGACCTGAGCCGAAGGCAGTCGCTTAACCAACTGAGCCACCCAGGCGCCCCTAAATAAATAAAATCTTAAAAAAAGAAAAAGAATTTTTTCCAAGCTGAATAGATTATATAATTTCAAAAAATAATCAGGCGTGTGGCTGGCTCAGCTGGTAGAGCACTCGACTCTTGATCTCAGGGTTGTGAGTTTGAGCCCTATGGTGGGCATGGAGCCTACTTTAAAAAAAAAAATCTTTCAAGC